TTATGGGAAATTTTCATTACTTCTCTAATTTCTAAAAGTCAGAAATTAAGGCACAAAAACAGCCAGATTTGATCAAAACATTTTAGTGAATAATTTTTAAAGAGTTATATTGTATATTTAACCTTCAAGACCTAAAGAAATACCACAGTGTAAAAACATGAAGGGCATTTGCTACACAGAAGGAAATGTGTACTTTTTAATCTTTGAAAAAACATTTAGGTACTACGCCAGTTCCTGCTGAATATCCTAAATTCAAAAGTATGTTACTATATTACCTTGTAAAGACAATTTACACCATCTTGACAAAATAGTTACAAAATACAAGAAACCTATTTAAGAAATTAACACTTGTTAACTTCATAAAAGGTTCAGCATTTTCTTTCAGAAGAAAGAGAAAAAGGCATTCAACTTGTTAGTTCAGGCTGGGCCTTCCCTTTTTGTTACGATTCTAACCGTAACACAGGAGGAAGCAAGGCCCTACTTAGCAGATGCACCTTCTGGGTAAACCGTACCTGTACCAGGTGTGGGGTCCTGGTTGGAGCTTGGGAAAGGGGTTCTGCCGACCTGGTGCCATGGGAGGCTTCTCCAGGGCTCAATGGATGTTAAGCTTTGCCTTCCATTAGGCAAGAAAGCCAGAGCTCTTCCAGGGCATTCCCTGGCGTGTCTGAGTTCCCAGTTCAGCAAAACAGGAGTTGTCAGACACCCCGGGAGGGGAGGCTCCGCTCTCACACTGGTGCTGTTTGGCAACACCCATTCGTGCTGAGAAGCTGGGTCAGTGAATGTTTACTAGGCACAGCGGCCGTAACAATCACAGTAGCTGTGTTCCAGCGGTGAGTAGGAAGAGTAAAGAAGGTCAGAAGTGAAGCTGTGTGCTTTAGAGAACTGCCATCTTATAACCCAAATTTAGTGGAATTACATTACCGTCTCCCCCTAGTCACGGCCTACCCATAATGCCAGTAGGAAGACAAGCTACTTTAAGAGATGACCTCAGATTTAATAAAATGAAGCAAACATGTTATTTTACCACTTTTGAACCATTAGTGATGTGTTTACTAGAGTCCACCACCGTGCCTTTTAAGTGAGATGAACTGCATGGGTTCCTGACTGTGCACAAATGTTTAAGTGGAAGACCAGTGTTCAAAACCCGTGTTGGTGAATTAAATGGAAATGTGTACTCAGCATGAGATTTTATACCCAGGTAACGGCGCACAGACTTTCCCACAAGTGCACCTTGCGGAAAAACGACTGTAGCTGAAGACTACTGGTAGCACCTTTGTGTTCCGTTGTTTTCCCACTTCTCTGCTCTTGAAAGAAGAGGGCCTAAAGGCAAGTGAATGGAAAATAAGTGCCCAAAGACAGGACAGAAACAAAACTGGCCTCTAGGTGGCGCCTGAAAGCAGTTTCGGGAAGTCTGGCGCCCTTCAGGGTGAGCCAGGCCCTGGCCCAACCTCCCTCCGTGACCTGGGGGGCTGTCCTCGCCTGCTCGACATCTCTGCAGGGGGCTCACCGGACTGGTGCTAACACACTCCCCCTGCCCCCACGTATTCCTCTGCCTTGAAAAAACTTGGAAGCTGGTAAAAAAAAATAGTTCCATTTTTCATCTGTATAAGTAACATATCTGTAATAGTTCATCTGTATAAGTAATATATCAGACTGGAAGAGAGTGTGCTACAAATAAGCTGTGAATATGGGTCAGATTAAAATTCTGAATACATATATGGGAATTTTTAGGTTTTATGTTTCATTTGTTTCTATAAATCACTCCTGTTAAAGTCAACACACCAGAGGAGGGAAATACACTTAATCCAAGAGCCTCTGCCAATCACAGGTGGTTCTGCCACAAAGCTTTACTTTGACACATCCTGCCTGCCTGTCCCGCGGCCGCCTCGCGGCCCGGCGGCTTTGTCCAGGGGCAGCAGGCTGGGCCCACCGGAGCTCGGCTCTGCTTGGCTGGGAGGTGGGCTGTTTCCCAAGGGAATGGTCTATCTCTGTTTATTTTTGGTAAAAACTTTTAAAAGGTATTAGATATCATGCTACATTTGATATCAAATACTAATCTGTAATTCCAGTTAAAACATTTGTTATCAATAAAAACAAAGACCACTCTCCCTGTGTAATTATAATAAAATGTGACTCCACACAAGAGGTCTATTCATATACACATGCTCACTCAAAAGGAAACCTACAGATGCAAGCCCGTTTTAACATATACTTTTTTTTATTAAATATGTAAAAAGATAACCGCAAGTCAAGTTATTCACATATTCAGAGACAAAAAGCTATTCTACCATGCGACAATAGGTGGGTAATGTAAAATGAATGTGATACATCTGAATAAGACCTTTTCATCTATGTCATTACTTATCTATATTTATAATTAACAATACATATGTTTACATTCCTTTCAGTTTACATTTAATATATAACAAAAGCTTTATGGTGTACTATTTAGTAAAAGTAATCTGAATGCATATTAAACCTTAACGGAATAATGGAGATAGATACTCACCAGGGAAGGGAGTTATTCTCGGTTCCCTCCTGGAGTTTACTTCTCTCAGGTCAACAGGGTGTTTGTCTTTTTCTGCTTTTCTGCTTGGAAGACAGGCTCTCTCTGCCCCCTGCTTCGATCACTTCCTATCTGACACGAGCAGTGGGTGCTATGATCAGCCACAGCAGGTGTGAGGGGAGGCTAAGCATGAGGTCGGCTTCTGAGTGGGAGGAGTGGGCACACACCGGGGGCCACTTCTCGGCCCAGCGTGACAGTACGTGGTGGGGCCGTGGAGGAAGGCGAGCCTCAGGTGCCACAATAGGGGACTGATGGGGTACAGCCACCGGGGAGAAAAGAGCAGGTCTGGCAACTGAGAGGTGGTCTGCACAGAAGCTGGGGTACTGTTAAATGTTCCCCAAGGTCTCAGTGCTGTCCCATGGGAAGCAGCACAGTGGAAGATGTTTCAGATGGAGGCAGAAAAGAGGAATCTATAGCTCTCTTCTAATTAAATGAATAGCATGCTCCAAGACTCTGGGTAGGAGAATGAAGTATGATGACTGGAGGAAGTTATCTTTGCAAACTATCTGGCCAGTGTGTTTCTAGCTGATCAGGTTGGGGACTTAGGGAGCAGTGAGTGGGTGTCAGTGGTGTGGCGAGGCTTATGTAAGTTACACAGTGATCACGTGAGCCCAGCACTGGGTTTTCCTCAGCGGCCCAGGGCTGGCATGAAGCTGCGTAGGAACCACTGACCTATCATCTTTGTGGTGCCTCTCTATAAAAGCTATTTTAAAACAACGAAACTCAGTGAGTGCAAGAGGCTTGGGAAGAACACACCGTTCAGCATGATGCCGTGTATAGCACAGCCACTACCTGTAACCAGGTGTGGAGGATGTCACTGCCGAGAGCCGGGCTTTCCAGCCCGAGAGAAGTGAGCTGCCACCGCAGCGCAGAGCAAGCAGGAGAGAGAAGGAAGGGAAACCGAACTCCACGGAACACCTGTCCAATCCTGCCCAGTGTGGTGTAGCCACCTCAAAATACAAGCCATCTTTTTCACATGTAACTCAATAAATACCACTTCGCTGTAAAACATTTATTTTGAGAAGACTTCTTTTGGTGGAAAGCTTCAATGTGAGGGTTTAGAATTCGTATTTCATCAATTAATAAAGAAATGTCAAAGCTTTATGATACATAATTCAGAAATTTATTTTAAGCTTTTCAGTTAAGAGGAAAGTGGGGTGGGCACACTTGTTTGTTGTTTTTGTTGCACCTGCTAAGTCAAATAACAAGTTGAAGGTGAATCTAAAGTTAGAAACCAAGTGAAATGAATGATCCAGGAAGGGATACCATCTGTCAAAGAAAAAAAAAAAATAGCCAAAGATTTGGAAAGATACTAAGCAAATGTGCAAATCTTAAAAAAAAAAAAAAAGAAAAGAAAAAAGGAATGCTTTTAATTCATCCATGTTTCCTCGGTTTACGAACTGCAATGGTTTAGCAAAGGTCAATGACAAGGAGGGCCGCAGTACTCAACAGGGGAAATGCCTTACTCCAGAAGGGACTGGGAGTCATAGAATGTTCTGTGCTGTCATTCCAGTGTCAACACTAGACCTCAGAACCACGATGCCTCCTTGGAACTAGCTTCCTGTTCATCGGGTTGCCCCTCCCAGCGGGCGGGCAGCATGATACAGGCCCTTCCGCTCGGGCTGCGCACCCTGCAGTCCTTCCAGTAGGAGCCCCGCAGTGTGGGTGCCAGGGCTGGCGCTGAAACCCACACTGGAGGCAGGAGGACCTGTCCCTGTGCAGACCCCTCTGGACTGCAGGTAGCTAACTGATGACAGCTTCTCGGGGTGAGGGGCTGCCCACCAAGGAGGACCCTGAGAAAGAAAACAGCATGAGAACCTGGCGGGGGGTTTTGGTGGGGGCAAGCAGTTAGAGGGCCGAGTTGAGATAGCTTTTAAAGACATTCACTCAAGGAAAACACCAACAACATACTGTGTGGCTGTCTAACATGCTGATGGACGAACACTGCTGGGCCCTGAAGTCCTAGTCTTGGTTCCATTCTTTTTTCCCTTTAGTGTTGTGAGTAGAGGGAGAAACTGACTCCGTTTTTCCCTATAAAACAAGTCACTGTCATTATGGCTTTCATATCAAGTACCTCTTTCCCTTTGTTCCAATTTATTATTTTACGAAATTTATGTTCAAAGGTTAGACTTGCAAACATCAAAGCACCACAAATGTATGTGACATCTAGTGACACTGGGTTGAGAAATGCCAATATAAATACCATATATCAAATTACCATTGTTTCACACCAGGATTAAAAAGGGGGTGTTGGTGGTGGTAGCAGGGTGGGGAGAGTTGTTCTGGAAAGAAATGAAAAGAGCAGAACCAATCTCACGTAGCCAAGTGGTAAAGTTGAAGGTATGTGACCCCATGATCTCTCAGGTAAGCCGCCAAGCGGCCGACTGCTATGTGTCTTGGCAAAGGAAATGGGGACCGAGTGCAGTGGCTGGCGTTTGTATGCGACAGTGCGTTGATGTTACCGGCAGACTGGGAACAACTGGTTTCTGTTGAGCTTGAGGCCACACGTGTTCCGATTCTCCAGAAGAAAAGTTCCCACGCAAAATGGAGTGTCAAGAGCTGCCAAGACGGGTCAGTACTCTTCCTGCTGCTGGGGCTGCTGTTCGTGCACTTGTTCTTCTGCTTCGGGCTCTTCCGGGTGGCCCTCCTGCAGGGCGAGGAGAGGAGCTTTAGTGGAGGCCCTGCGCTGCCCCAGCCTCCTCATCACAGCATCCCCAGGCCGTGCAGAACACGGGCTTAGGAACCGCTTGCCACCCAGGGGCCTGCCTACTCTCCGGAGCTCGTGCACACACAGGGGTGGATGCCTTCGCTTCCCCGCTCCATCCAAGGACAGATCAGCCTGGGCCCAGGCAGCAGCAGGCTTGATGCACCAAACTTTCCCTGCTATTTTGGAAGGAAATCTCCACAGAACCTATTACATATTTTCCTACCCTCTCCAACAGAAAACCAAAAGCAGTGACTAGAGCATCACGAGACCCACAGGTGAATGTGCTAGGACCCAGCACAGAGCCGCAGCCCCTGCAGGCGGCCACCCTCACACTACCTGCCCGTGACGTGCAGCTTCTGATCTGCTGCCATTCTTCTCACCTGGTGGTATGACTGCATGAAGCAGACCCCTTGCTATAATCTGTTACTCCGCTGAGACAGGCTTAGGTGCGAGAGAAGCAACTTGTTAGAGTAATAAGGTAAGGAGAGGACACCAAGTGTTTCAGGAAAAGACCTGCTAAACTCATTATTCAGTCTTGATGACTGATGATGCTTTAAAGTCCAAGTGCTGCTTGGGGCATCTGCAGTCATTGCCTATGCACTGAGAGAACGGCTTTCCGAGTCCAGACTGCAGCAAGCTGTGGGGGCGGGTTGTGGGGTGCATGGGGAGCTGGTGATGTGAAGAGAGCAGATTAGAAGTTGAGTGCGGTCATCTGGGTAGACCCCCCCTGAAAGCGGCCCAGGAGCCAAAAGCTCTCATCTAAGGCCGGTCCTGCCTGTCACTAGCTAGGAATTCAGTGGCCCATGTCAACCCTTACTTTGGAGATCATCTGACAAGTGTTCCTGCACATGGACTCCCTATGGGGACAAGATCTGGCTCAAAGTTAGAATCAGGTCTTTCCGTCTGCTGGGAGGGCAGGGCTGGGAAGACTCAGTCCCGCCCAGCGCCTCACGCCCTGTCATGGACAGACAGCAGCACCTCCTCTCAGGCTCACAGTGCTGCCTGCACCCCCCGCCCCGGCCTTCCCATCCAACAAGCTTGTAGAGAGAACCACCACAATGCACCTAGTGCTCGGAAGACTACAAAGCGCCTGCTACAGACAGATCACGATGTCCGCCCCGTCTGGGGCGGTGCAGACACACTACGAAGCAACCTGTGGTTTCTTCTATCAGATACGAGCATTTTGAGACCCGTATTCTGTGAGGCCGTCACTGTCTCTGGCCTCCAGATCTACAGTCTGAGATAACAACAGCCAAGACAGAAGTTTAAAAAAAATATCGGGAAAATGAAAAAAGTGGTGGAGGATCCCCAAACCCCAGAGAGTTTCTTATAGTTTAGGAAAATTTCATAGCTAGGACTTTAATCTTACATGGAGTAAACATCTGCCTGGTGTCAGCTGGGATAAGACATAAAGTAAACTTGCCAGTGGCTTGTTCCAGTCTGCGGAAATACTAACATACACGCAACTCAACCACAGAGCCCTCAGAGCATCCACAGGCCTGTGGGACAAATGCAAACCTTTCTCCCAGCTTCAGCCCGGCAGGAGGAGAAGCTCAAAACCCCAGCCAGCCCTCTGGCTTTCCACAGCGTGGTGGGGGCCGCAGGAGGGGCAGCCCCAGCAGGCTCCCACTCCTGTTTCCAGATGCCGGGACCTCTCCCTCCGAGCTGGCAGACTTGGGGCGACCTGCCTCGGTCTGGGCCTTTTATCCCGCCCCTCCGCCTCCTTGCTTCTCTTGTGCCTCACATCTGCGTCTCCCTGCGCACTCGCTCAGGTGGGCAGGCCCTCTCCATAGCGCAGGCTTCTAGGAGTACTTGTCAGCAAAGGGTTGCCCCACAGAGCTGCGCTGTACTGGCAATAAGTAACCAAGACAACCAGCTACGAAATAAAAGCAGGCCACTGTGGGGCTTCGGGAGATGAAAACAGCACCTAGATCAATTTCTCCTTTAACCACACTGATCTTTCATGAAGAAAGAATCCTTACACACTTTGTGTTCATTTGCTTGTACTACTGAAAAACCACTTGAGATTTGGCTGCATAAGCCTATCTTCCTGCCCTCCCCACCCCACATCCACCCATCTCTTCCCAGATTGATTTATGGATGTGTGTCCCAGAGGCAGGCGGCCAGTGGATCGTGATGACGATGCTGCTCATTCCCCTGGGAATCTCGAATGCCCTGGATGAGCTGTAATTCTCACTGAGGTCACAGGGTAGTGTCCTGTGGCGCATGGATCGCGGCACTGCAACCGCGAGTGTCACCAGAGAACACAAGAGGCAGGGCTCTTCACACTTACGTGCTCGTCTGAGGCATAGAGGACTTCCATTAGTCGCTGCACAAGGTCGTCGTTTTCCTGCCCCTGCTCTTGGCAGAGGAGCTCGATCTCTCTCAATTTTCCGAAGTAGAAATCCCTTTCCTTCTCCACCCCCTCAAGGGCAAGTTTTAATGAATGTACCTGCAAGGGCATGAGGGTGGAGAAGAAAACCCCCCAAATACAGAATAAGAAACAACTTACCAACTATGCCTGTGTAGAAAAGACCCAAAACATGGACAGACAGACATGCACAATGTAACCGATGTACAAGTCTTGGGGAGCAACAAGGGGCTGTTGTTTGGAGCCTGAACCTGGGGCAAAATGTCCAGCTTTTGCAGCACACTAAAGTCATTCCCCTAAGTCAACTGAGTGTTTATTAACCAGGGACAGGAGGCATCGTTCTCCAGGATGCAGTTCTGTCTCGGCTAAGTAAGCTTTCCTCTCCTGCTAATATGGGCCAGACACGCCGTCCTCCTAACCTGCCCATCCTCCGCAGGGAGAGGAGCTGGGAGGGTGAGAGGAGGGTGTCAGGGAGAGGAGAGAGGCTAGAGAGGCTGTCACTGTGGCTACTTTAGATGTGTTTTGAGGATGCTTCTGGCTCAACATCACCTGCATTGAGCCACCCTTAGTTTTGGACTCCTTCAAGAGACGTTCCTGAGCCAAACTAGACAAATACTCTCTACTGCAAAGCTGCATCCTGACTACACAAGGAAAACTAGGAGACGAAAAGACTGCTGAGTAGATTTGGCTTAATTTCTCTAGTTCTGGCATTGTGGAAGATTTTCACTGGAAAGGCAGGAAGCGACGGAGGAAGAGATGGAAGCTCTGTTCCTTCAGCCAAATAGCCCTCCATACTACCCCCCCCCCGCCCCCGGGTCCCGGCTTCCTGCCCCTTGCTGCTGGTTCAAGGACCTTCCAGGGCCGTGTAGCCTCTCCCAGTGGCTACAGACACAGCACTAGTGAAGGGAGGGAGGCAGCAGTGAGGCAGAGCCCAACGGCACTGTCACCCCGGCCGAAGGACACCGAAGGGGCTGTAAACAGATCTGGGCTCAGCTCCCAGGCAGCTACACACAGGCCCAAAGGATTACCTGTTTCTGCTCTCTGAGAATCCTGCAATTTTTCTTTTACCAGTCATGCATTTTATATTTATGCAGAGAATATACTTTAGAAGGTATATTAAGTCTTTTGTGGTCCTCTGCAGGTAAAATCTCTTTCAGTATATGAAAAACCACCATTAACAGAATTTCCAAGAATTACTTTTGGGATGGAAATTTTTCTTCCATCCCTAGTAACCATGGGCCTTTGTACCTGCTATGTATCTGCCTGGAATAAGTGATTCATCCAAACATACACTGAGCACAGGCAGTGCGCATTCGCCCTTGCACACCTGGCAAACTTGCACCCGTCCTGTAAGATACAGGGGTACATTCCTTAGAGTTCCCCTCACTGACGCCCTCATAGCTGCTTACTGAGCAGCAGAGCATCTGTTTGCTAACATTTAACTCCGACTTCTCATAGTACTGTTGCTTGGATGTGGGTAAAAACTGAAGGCAACCAGCAGCTTCACTTCCAGGAAATCTCCCTTTACTCTAGAAATCTTTTCTTGCTTTAACACAAACCACCCCCTCCCAGGGCGTGGCCACAGAAGCCCTCTGAGGCCTGCGCTGGTGTCAGCAGATGGATCTGTGGCAGGTTAGGTGTCTGCCGCTCCTGCTGCATGGGCAAGATGGGTCGCTGGACACATCTGAACAACATAACTAGGCTTGTCTGTCTCTCGAGCGTGCTTCAGCTGCATGGTGAGCAAAGAGCTGAGGCTTTTGTAAAGAGACCCAGCCCAAGTCAGTCTTTGGTGGTATTCCAGACGCATTAGGTAATAGATGTGCAGCTATAAACATTCCCTAGTAAAAACCAACAGGAGCTAAATTATATGATGAAAGATCAATTGGCAACCGAATTCCATGCTCACAGCCCCACTCATAAAGACTGATGCCTCTCTGCTCCCCCACATGCCACAGCGGGAAGCCTGCATGGTGGAGGGGATGCTGGGGATGAAGCCTCGAGAAATTTGAAGGAATCAGATGAGAGGGAAAAGTTCTCTTTGCTCACGTCCCCCCACTGCGGGGCTAAGTTCCCTGAACACAGCAGGGACTCTACCCCACTGCCTGTTTGCTAGCTCATTCTCGGGAAACTGTCCCTACTTATTCTAGTGACGTCTTTTGATTGATTTCTCTCACTGGAATTGTCTAGCGCAGTGGTACTTTATAGTGTGCCATGGGAGACTGCCTGAATAAAGGCACGAGGCCAAGTAAATGAGAATTCTTAAAGTTTATGGCACTTGTCACTTTCTCTATTACGACTGTAACTCACTCTTCAGTCTGGGCATTTTCACTCAGCCACGCCTTGTCCTAGCGTCCTCAGTTCTATCACAGTGATGCCTGTGTGGCTCCCCACCAGTTTCGGGGGCACCCTGCAGGCTTCAAGGACAGAATGTGGAGAGAACAGTAAGAGTTAACCACGGAACTAACTCCGGACTAAGAGCTCACCGACTAGTTGTTGAGTGAAGTCTTGAGATTTAGGGTGTGTATGACCTTCCCTTGGGGGTTGGGGGCAAGGGGCTGGCACACTCCTCCCCCAAGTGAATGTGTCAGGGGGCAGGCGCAGGAGTGAAGCCCTTTTGGAAGTAAGACAAAAACTACAACAAGGAGGAGGAAGACCGCTGGAGTGTTCCTCTCTCTCCTCACTGTCTTCTCTAGAGCGGCACTTCGGAAGGTAGGTCAAGGCCTGGGCGCCCTAGGGATTTGGGTTTCTTTGACCAGAGGGAAGTCAAACACGTGGCTGGCTAAGGCTGTAGAGAGAGGGGGGCAAGAGGAGGAGGGGGTCTCCAAGTGGTCACACTTTGGGTTGGAGGGCTGGGAACCTGGGTGTGGTGGAGGATGAGACAATAGAGATATCGAAAGAGTGGGAGTTCCTAAGGATAAAAGAGTTATATGTTTAAACTATTATAGCCCCACACCTGATGCGCTTTATGTGTAACCCCATTTGCCTGCAGCCGAGGCAGGTGGCCCAAGGCTCGCTGTGCTGTCGTAACTGCCTTTCATCTGAGAATGATGAGCATTACTGGAAATTCTATGTGGGCTCACACTGGGACTCAGCAGGTAATGTGAACATTCCACAGTTTCCAAATCAAAGTGCTGCCCGCTGATGACTTACAGTTTCACCTTTTTCATTAAAGTGGTCAGAATTGTAAAGAAACACCTTAGGTAAGCAACTGCCTGGTTTTAAACTAGGTTCTTGTTTGCAAATATACAATTATCTCAAAAACCATTTCCAGACTCCTGCTGGCTCATCAAGAATCACATTAATCACTGGGAATGGCCCAGCGAGTGGCTGGGAACAGCCTGAGGACCTCCAGCAAAGGCTCCTCTCCCGGCAGTGGGAGGAGCCAGGATAGATGACCCTCCTCCTAACTCAGGTGGGCAGGGGTGAGCCAGGCTTTTGCAGCAGGCCCCTCCCTACCAATTGCTTTTTTTACTTTTAAAACTATTAACACCTAAACTTGAGAGAGAGCTCTCAATTTCCTGATCTCAGCTCAGCCCTAGTGACCATTTAAACATCTGTCTGAATGTGGACAAAATATTTTGTTTGAAATAAAGTTCTATCCCCTACCTTGAAGGAAAAAAAAACTACATATAGTTTTTGTGTGAATTAATATAGGCAAAATTAGCTATTGTTAGCTAGAATGAGTACCTAAGCCTTTATTTAGAAAACATCAAAGGCAATAGAGCTAGATTTACTGTAATCAAGAGGAATATTACTATATTTTGTCATGTATGATGTGCACTTTTTTGCCTAAATTTTTGAGGTAAAAATAAGGATGCACATTACATACGGGTAGTACTAATTTTGTATCTATATAAATGTTTTTAATTCTTTTTAAAATTTCTTGTACCATAATATGTTAAAAAATAAATGTTAAAATTCCTTTATAATACAAAAACCAAGTCTCTAAATATAAATAAATAAATAGTTAAACAATTAAAATGAAAGATTTTTTCCTGAAAGTTTGGGCCAAAACTGGGGGTATGCATTATACATGGCAAAATACGGTGCACAGAAAGCAAAGTTCTACTTTGACACTGCGGACTTTCTCACTGTCCTGATACCGGGTTCAGGGCTCCTGTGGTAACATTTCGGCCACTGTGGGAAGTGTTAGGATTTTTGCTTTTGATTGCACTATCACCTTTCCTGTACCATTGCTGTCTGAAAGTTCTGTGGGGCAAGGGAAGGTCTCTTTCTTGCTACCATTATATTATTAACATCAAGCACAGTATCTGTCACATAGAGCAAGCCTAACAATTAGTTGCTGAAGAAAAGGCAAGAGTAAGGGAGACGAATCCTAAAGCCTTTAACACCATTTAGACCAGCCAGAAGTGGAGAGACGGCCACAGTCTAGGCTGGAGCTCCCTAAAGGCACTAGGTGGGGCGGGGCCGGGGGTGGGGGTTGCCCTGCAAGCCTGCATTTACCTGGGACTGAGTCATTTGTCCTTCTGTCTTAATGTAGCTTTGAGATTTGTGACTAACATCTTTATTCATAATGAGCCCGTGATTTTATCTGCTTGAACAATCCCTTGATTTCTACTTGCTTGCAGCCACGGGGTCTGCCTCAGCCTTCCCTCCCAGAGTAATCCCAGGCCTACAGGGATTTGCTCCCCCTTACGCCTGCCGCTGCTCCCAGATCCAGGGCCAGGGGTGATGAGTTACCTGTTCATTAAGCTGTATGACCTGTGTTTCCAAATCTTTATCAGATTTGGATGCTGAACCACTGGATGAAGCCCTTTTGGCTGATGAGGGGCGAGAAGGTGTGGATCCTGGTTTGGATGCTGGGCTTGATTTAGCTGCACCTGAAAGCAAGCAGAATAAATGATAAATAATGGCAATATTAAAATGCTTTCTGGACATAGAGCAAATAGATGATCTAGGAGTTTGCTAAAAAGGTATGAGAGAAAACTGTCAGCGGTCCCTTCCCATTATAGAGGTAGAAGAAATATATGCAGAAAGAGAGCGTGTGCTGCTGGTGTCATCTTGGGTAATTTATTTAACCTTTCTGAGCGCTGTTTTTTACCCCCTCGAGTAACATGAGATTAATGCAGTTGTCCTTTCTCCCTCCAGGGAGGTAAGAGGAGCAGACACAAGGGATTCTAAGTTTTTTTCTAAGAGGAAAAAAGCAGCACCATAGATGAGTTTCTAATGAACAAGAAAAAACACCTTATAACAGATTAATACTTTAGAAGAAATACTTATACAGATGTATGCCTTTTCTTTTTAAGTATATTTCCTGGCTTTAGTCACTGAAAGAGCCTGGGAACAATGACATCTCCATAGCTGTGAGCACTTCTGGTGCCCAAGCCCTGGCTTCCAAATTTTATTCTGCAGTAAAAGGGTTACTTAGGAAACGGCTGATTCCAGGGGTAGGGCAGGGTAAGTGCAAGGTCAGCCTGGAACATTCTGTGTCAAAAGCAAGAATGTGCTTAAGGATTAGTGTCAAAGGATACAGGGGCCAGGTTGAAGGGGCTCCTAACTAGCCACACCTGGGGCAGTTTGCACACCAAAAGAAAAAGGCTGTGATGTGGCGTAACACACTGATTAAAAGTCTAGTCCATAATTCTTGGGGAGGGGGAAGGGATGGATATAAAGATCTTTATAGAACACTGACAGTAGAAGAAATACTAGAACTAGAAAAATCACAGTTTTGCAACACTCTGATTCAGGAAGGTTTATTGATGGACCTTCAAACGTTGAGCTGTTTTGGGGGATTAAGATATTCATGTGTCAGGGTATTACCCTATAAGTTACTTATTATATAAGGAAAAAGATACTCCTTTACAATGGGGAGACCTGGGGATGAATGCCCTAAGCAAGTGATTCAATAGCATTGCTAATAATGTTATGCATTTTAAAGTTTTAAGTTTAAAAAAAAAAGCCACTGATTTCAGGTAAGACCTCGACTACCTGGAGCTTAGCTCATGATAAGCTCTCTCAGTATCTAGAACACGGCACAGACACAGGAAATGACCTCAGCAGCCAAAACAGAAGGTACAAGATATAGATGCAATGAAGCTGATGCACTTCATGTGTTAAGAAACTCAGGGTCATTCCTGAGGGCCCACCCATTCCTTCTAACTCGGAACAGCTCTGATTAGGTGGCATCTCCGTCTGGTCTGCTCCCCCGTGTGCTCCCACTGGTCCAATTCTCCAATGCAGTTCCCACGCTCTGCTTCCCCTAGAAGGCTCTTCGAGGGCAAGGAACGTGTCCTATTCAGCTTTGCACCGCCAGTGCTGAACAGTGTCTGGCTGAACACATATTTCTTGAAGGAACAAATGTTTGATTAAATACACGAACAAGTAAATAAAACCTGGTTAGATGGTTTACAATGTTACAGTTTATTTCCAACTTCGCAGTTTATCAGTACCACAAATTAGGAAGAGGCAAAGTGTTATAAAGGCTAAGTGTGCTGACAGCAGTGAACAAATTTCAAACACTCTCTTAATTACAACGTAGGAAACAGGAAGACCATAAAACTTAGATCTGTATGTCTTCATGGCGCCTGGAGTCATTAGTTATAGATGCAAAGTCATACACACCCTCAAGAAGCGCTGACAGCATCCTACCCTAAGATACATTAAGATAAGAATGATTAAATTGGGAATGACTTAAAATAGCTTTGAGTATTCAAAGGGTAACTGTTCAGTGACCTGGAAATCTCACCTATGCAAGAGGACATTCCCAATGATTCCAGAGACATGCTGTTCTGCTTTATCTGTGTTTCACATACGGGGGTCCTTTGTCTGGTTAGAAGCCTGTACAAAAGCCTGCTGGAGCACTATGTCCATGGCCCACTGGGCGGGTTCTCCAAGCACAGGTCAAGCCAACACGGAGAGAAAACTGTGGGGCGTGGCAGGGGAGGCAGGGTGAGGGCACGCTGACCTGGCAAAGAGCCTCCTCTGTGGGAAGCCACCAGCCAGCCTCGCTGGGGAAGCTGTTTTTGAAAAATCAAGTTACTTCAGACCTTTTTATAAGCAGTACCTCATTCTTTAATATAAAGAATGCCTCACAGTAAGTGGACTGTCTATGATCGATGCATCTTATTTACTAAAGACACATTAATAAAGTGCCTACCGCGAGCCATGCAGTGGACGTGGAGATATCTGCTCTCCAAGCCGATGGCCTTGTAAGTTTAAGTCATCTAAGCATCCCCGGCCATGGCCAGGGTCAATGTTCTCCGGAACAAGCAGTGTTCTTGAGTACGTGACTAGAGAGTGAGATTCAGGCTGTATTTTGTCTGCCCTCCTCCCCTCCTTTGAGTGACTAAGTCTACCACCCTTCAGGTCTCAGCTGTCATGGCTCTGGAGGCCACAGCACCTCGAACACCTTCCACACAGCACCTATCAGCTACAGCAGAGTACAGTACAGCCCCCCATCCATGGTTTGGCTGGCCGCAGTTTCACTGAGCCAGTCAACTGCTGCCTGAAATGTTAAATAGAAAATTCCGCAACAATTCATAAGTTTTAAACTGCATGCTGACTGAGTAGCATGAAGTCTTGTGCCCACCCTGTCCCACCTGGGATGTGAATCATTCCTTATCCAGTGTCTCCATGCCATACACACTATCCACCGTGAGTCACTTAGCAGCCACCTTGGTTATCAGATCGAATGCTGCAGGATCTGTGTTCAAGTAACCCTTCTTTTACTTAATAATGCCAGAGTCACATAACGTTTACTATAGTATATTGCTTTAATTGTTCTATTTTATAATTAGTTATTAATCTCTTACTGTGCCTAATATACAAATTAAACTTTATCATTGGTATGCATGTATAGGAAAGACATAGTATACACAGGGTTCAGTGCTATCCATGGTTTCAGGCATCCACTGGGGGTCCTGGAATGTATCCCCCAGATAAAAGGGACAGCTTTAGTTATTTATCTAATGTCTACTTCTCCCATTAGACAAACTCTATGAAGTAGGAGTTGGATATGTTTTGTTTACTGCTTTACGTTCCCATGCCAATCACAGTGCCCGACCCAGAGGAGATACTTAAAAAAGCCATTATAATTCCTGAAAGAGCTCCTAGGAGAGGCATCTATCCAGGGTAAGGCTTCCAGGGGACATTCGAGGGGCTGACGCCAACATCAAAGCCACCGCCAGAACCAGCCAGCAATTCACACAGGAAATCAAACAGCAATCATCAGCCTTTCCGAGAGAGATCTCTCACTTGGTTTCCTCTCAAGATCACCTTCCATTATTACTTGGGCCCTTTAGCTGTGGAATCAGCACAAGCGTTCAAGTGGGTCAATTAGCCACTAAATGATTAACTCTGAGTAGGAAGGAGCAAGGTGGTTTGGGCCAGGCTGCCCAAGTCTCTGCCACGGGTCATGGCCTCTTCTGAAAGAAACAGCGCTGCAGAAGGCACTGCCCTTGGGAGCACGTGACCCCCAGCCCAGGGCGGTCCTCCCCCAGCGCATCAGCAACTATGATGGGGCTGGCTGAGGGGACAGCGCTGGGCTCCTCAGACATACCCCTGTTCTTACACTTCTGACTCAGCCTCACAGAAACTGTAAGAAAAACGTTGAAGGAACTGAAGCTAATTACTTGTAAAACAGGGCTACCACTAATTATATTTTCAGGACAACATCAAATGCAGCTTGAAAAGAAAAAAAAAAAAAGCTGCAGTGAGCGATTTGACGTGAAAGCAGAAGGGGCCACGGCAAGCCGAAGCCCTGTGCTAGGCCGCGTTATCGGGAAGGGAAACTATAAATAAGCGGAGGCAGCCGGCTGGGAGAGGAGCGGGGCTCGGGCGGCGCTCGCCGGGCCGCGCAGCAGAGGCCACGGCTGCCCCGCTAACGACGGCAGTTCCCGCTGTCCCGGTTCCAAACACGCGCAGCCTCACAGGCGACCCGTTTTTTTTTTTTCCCCTTGAGAAAACAACATCCCTCGCTACCGACAGAGCCCCGCTTAGAGATGCTCGGGGGGGTCGGTTCCGCCTGTGTTCCGAGGACTGCGTGACAGCTGGGGCTCAGGGCCGGCTCTCTCACCCTGGCACACTGGGGGCTGCTGCGGCTCAGCCTGGGAGCGGTGAAGGCCGTGAGCACCGGCCTTGGCGACCTCTGCTGCGGGCAGGACAGGCCGGGGGAGAAGACTGCGCTCGCTACGCGAGGAATCAAGGACTATCTTCCATCCCGTCCGAGACAGTTCCTACCTGGGGGTGCGCTGCGGGCTGAAGAAAGTAAGGGATGGAAAACAAATCTGGAAAATTTAATAATAGATCCATTAAGCTGTTAGTATTTGAAGTTGAAAATTAGAGGAGTTTTGAAAGAAATTCTGATTAAGTTGTTTGGAAAGGAACTGATAATAGAGGAAAATAAACATCTGATGAACGAGGATATGAGAGATGACCGCTAGTTAACTGTACATTTATACCTTCTAATGAATAAGTGCAAAGAAATTACAGAACAAAAAAGACAGGGGGTTGATCTTAGGACCTTCAGAAGTTTAGAGCTTTAAAAAACATGCAATTAAGGGTTAAACTAAAAAGCTCATTTTCAAAAGAATGTAAAGTGAGTTCTTCACATCATTACAAGCTGTAACTTGATATGGAAGTAATTTACCCCTCACAGGTAGAACATGATTAACATACATAAAGAAATACTAAATACTAAAATTTATAAAAGATGACATCACTTCTTCATTATGTTTAATGATTTCATGGTTTTTTAGAATAAATACTAGTAGAAAATATCCTGCATTATACACCCTCATTAAACAGTTATGAACTATGTTTTTGTTTATTTGCTTTAACAATCTGTCTTTTTTCAAACCACCATTCTCTAAATACCCAGCCT